TGGGCAGATCAGAACTAGTGCCGCGAGCAATACTACTACTAGTTACTACTAGCTACCCCTAGTATTAGTAGTACTACTAGTACTACGGTACTATTAGTGCTACTAGTACTAGTACTGGTACTGGTACTAGTACCAGTACTAATACTAGTACTACGAATAACGCTAGTACTACTTTCATCCCTGGCTCAAAGAACACTGCCACTGCCACTTCCACTTCCACTGCCACTGCTACTGCTACTGCTGCTGCTGCAAATGCTTGTGCTGCTGTTGCTTTTGTCACTGCTGCTACAGCATTAAGCCCTTATTGCATGCAGATATGTATAGCATGTGCTCGAACGAGATCCCCAAATTTCTGACATGTTTCCGGAATCCAGCCCTCCTTGGGGAACGAGATAAGGGCCCGCAGTAAGGATGCGCGTCCTTTAGACAAGTACTAAATAAACTTCGTCGCTCATATACTTAAATCAATGCCCCGAGACTCAACCAGGCTTGCAAGCCCTAGCTTTTATGAGGAGTCTTTATTATGATTTCCTCACATAAGTTCTTATGAAGGTATGTCTTTCGGGATAGAGGTGTATAGGCCCCTGAACCCCAAGCACACGTGAAGAGCAAGAGAATGTGGCCAAGGACCCTTATCGTGACTGCCCCTGGCCCGGTGCAGCCGGGGTCCCACCTGCTGGGGCTTTGGGGTTTAGGATTCAGGGTTTAGGGTTTAGGGTTTCGATTGTTTAAGGTTTAGGGTTTTCGGGTTTGGGCGATGTGCCTCTGGGACTTTTGTGATGCTCCATCTTGTGGGCGTTGGGGCTGGTAGCAGGGTGCTGAAGTATCACGTCCATCAACGTCGTCGGCGACGTTTGATTGTCGCCCGAAAAGCTGTTGCAGCATATCAGCAAACGCTTGATGTCAACTCGCCCCCTCAACACACACGCCGAAGGAGCACACAAACATCCTCTAAACCCTCAACACCCACCCAGGGACACAGAGCGGCCAAGGTACCCTGTGAAACCAGCAGCTTGGAACACCTTCCTCCCTGCTCCCTCGTCAGCACCCTTGAGGGTTTTCCCCACCAAATACATTACGCATGAAGTGCTTGGGTCTAGGATAGTGGCTACATAGGCTCGCAAAAGTAGCCGCAAGTTGGGTTTTCGATGGTAGAAACTTGAGGTTGGAACTTGGGGGTTTTGTGGTTCTTAGATACTTAGACCTTCCAGCTGCTCACCGCAGCGGGCTTCGAGGATTGCCCAGACTATCCCTTCGAAGTCTCGGGAGATGGGGAGTAGAATGCATCCCACATGGTTGATGCTTTTGGGCTTAGGGTTGCAGAGTTTGTGTTTAAGGTTTAGGGTTCCAGGGTTTAGGGTTTAGGTTTAGGGTTTAGGGTTTAGGGTTCCAGACGGTGAATGGTTTAGGTTTAGGGCTTAGGGGTTAAAGCCCCTCTCTCACCATGTAAAGTTTACCTCTAAACCCTAAACCTGAAATCCTAAACCCTAAACCCAAAACCCGAAACTCCTAAACCGTTGTCGGCTTGCTGAGTTGTCCATTAGCCCTAAACCCTAAAACCCCACGTCCAAGAAGCCCTAAAGCCAAACCCCCATACTCTAAACCGTATACCATTATAATACCCGTACTTTATACCCTATACCCTACACTACCCTAAGCCCTAGACCCGAAACCAAACCGGCAGAGGACATCTGCCAACCCTTCCTGTTCACTCGTCGGGTTTGGAGTACGTGGGGTCCCTGTTTGAGGGCTTGGCCTGCGTTTCTCTGGATCACCTGTATGTTTGTTAAAATTGGGAGTATTCTGGCGGGAAGGTGTTGGGATTGAGCCAGTGATCTCAAGATTCAGCAACCTGTGTGGAAGCCCGTTAGTTAAGCCAGTAAGCCAGAAATCCTGAACTCTAGACCGCACTGGTGTTCAGCATGGCTCGCCTGATTCCAGCTTTACCTGGAGGTTCAGGGTGCATATTGTAAGAACAGAGTCGCTTCTTCAGGCGCAGGGTTTAGGGTTTAGGGTGGCTTACAGTCTCCTAATTGCGTGTAAGGCTGCTCGTTCTGACTGTGGGATGCAAGGTGCAGACTGGTCCAGGCCCCCAAACCTCGACACCATGCTTTGGACCCCCGAAACTCTGCAGACTACCCTCAAACCTTCTGGATCCTAACCCCTAAACCCTAAACTCCCTATACCGCTAAACTCCCTATACCGCTCAACCCCTAGACCCTAGACACCCCAAACCCGAAGTATAAGCTCCGTAAAACCCGACACATCCTTAAACTCCCTCAACATCCCTCAAACCCAAACTCACTGAACCCTAAACCCCCTAGAGCTTGAGTGAAAGTGCATGTGTTTGCATAAGCCGTCGTAGACCATCGTGCAGACGAAAAGAGCCCTTAAAGCAACCAAAAACATAAACCCTAGAGGTCGCTCGACATCTCTAAACCCGCTAAACTTCCTAAGCCCCAGGCAGACCCTAAGTAAAGGACCCTAAACACCGTAAGCTCAGAACTCCCGCAACCCGAAACCCTAAACTCCCCCCCCAAAAAAACTGCCTAAACCTCTAGGTTATGTTCTAGTATATAACAGACTCGCATATCATACGGTATATCTAAATCTATAATTATATCTATATCTGTATCTGTATGAATATTTATCTATGTATATATATATATATAATATGTATAGTCTTTTATACATGAAGCTGGGAAGATCCCAGGCTTGCACCGGAGAGCCGCTTCTCGGGGAGCGATGCGAGCGGGACGCGGAGAGCTGGCAGAAGCCCCCGCAGTATCCGAGCCTTGGCTTCGCAAGGCCTTTGTGTTTTTTGGATTTTTGGGGTTCGGGCCTACTTTGTAGGGGCCTTAATAGTGACCTCTACTATTTTGGGGGGGCTCCTTATTATAGTTATAGTAGAATCGGCCCCGAAACCCTATTCTAATTATTTAGGCCCCTGCATTGTAGGGTAGGTTGCGTGCGAGTGTGTGTGTGAGAGAGAGAGAGAGTGTGTGTGTGTGTCTTCATTTGACGACGATTTTGCTGTTGCCGCGGCTGTTGTTGCCGTTGTTGATGTTAGTGTTGGTGTTTGTGGTGGTGATGGTGATGATGTGGCGGTAGTGGTGATGGCGGTCAAGGTGGCGGCGGCGGTGGTGGTGTTACGGTGCATATTGTTGTATTTATTGTTCTCGATCCTGGTCTCGTTGTTGAATTGATTATTGTTCTTGGTGTCAGTAGTGTTGTCGTTCTTGCCTGGTTGCTGGTGCTGCCGCCGCCGCAGTCGCTGCCGCTGCTCCACTGGTGTTGTTTGCTGGCAGTGGCTGTGGCCGTGGTTGTCATGATTGCTGTTGTTGGTGTTGCTCCAGGTGATGATGTGTTGTTCGCTGACGATGATTCCGATCAGCGTCCTTACTTTGACAATTTTCAAGGCAAAGACCGTCAACAGGGTCTTAGCCCCAATTCCCGAGGCCGCAACCTCCTTCAGCTACAAGGATCAAGGGCTGCTGTGAGAGTTTCCTTAAGGTTGACTCTAATAGAGCAGCCTAGATAATTACCCATACCATTTTAGGGGTTCCTTATTATAGAAGTAGTATCATGGGCGCCAAAACCCTATTCTCATGATTATAATGCTCTACATTACCTGAATTCTGCACCCCACATTGGGTAGCCGCCCCTCCGCCCTTGAACCTAAAGCCGCCGAGCTGTGCCATCCCAGAATGTGGGAGCCTAAATCGTAATTGCCCCTACTGGTATTAGGGTTTAGGGTTTAGGGTTTAGGGTTGGCATATATTGGGATATTTTGTTTCGAGTAATTCGTATAATAGATCCCTTTGGGGGTGCTTTGTTATGACTAATTCGTATAATGGATCCCAAATCCCTGAGGAATCACAAGCTGATCAGCCTGGACTCCCATCCCTCCGACGGATGTGTCTTGGGTGCTCGTTCCTTTGGGTTCCTGCTTTTAACTTTTGATTCTAGTAGAATGATTGAAGTGTTGATATTCAGACCCTACAATGAAAGCAGGTCACGGTAGGTGAAGGTAGGGCCACCACCGCCACCGAACCATGTCCATAACCAAGACGAGGCTTTGGCCATCTCCCTCCTGCAGCTCGGGGAGGGGGGCCGTTTGTGCTGCTCCTTCGGAGAGGAAAGCTCCTCCGGCGTGTGCTTTTCTGTTCGTTCCTGAGGGTTGGGGGTAAGGTTCTTCTCCAAACGCCATGTGCCTCAATCCTAAACTTCCTAAACCCTCAATCCTTTAACCCCTTTACTCTTAACCTTAAACCCAAAACCAGAAGCCGCACAATTTAACCCTAAACCCTTTTCCAAAACCCTGAAACCCCAAGCCCTAAACCCTTCAACCCCAAGCCCTAAACCCTTCAACCCAAGACCTAAACCCTTCAACCCCAATCCCTAAGCCCTAGCCAGGTGCGCGTTCGCGCGCAAGGCGCGGCGGGCCCGAGCGGCAGGCTCTTTGCTAAAGTGGCCCAAAAGTTTAGGGTTTAGGGTTTAGGGGGCTGCTAAAGGGATCGACGAGCTCAGAGTAAAGAACATTTTGTGCTTAGGGTTTAGGTTTTAGGGTTTAGGGGTGCAGGGTTCTGGGTAAGGAAAAGTTTGTGTTTAGGGTCTGGGGTTTAGGGGTTTAGAGTTCAGGGTAAGTTTAAGGAACAGCGTGTATGAATCGCATCTACGGGTTATTTGGAGTTGTGCAGGATCTAATTCAGGGTTTTTGGGTAAAGGTTCCAAGGAATCCAAGGGCGAAGGATGAAACTACTGCAAGGTTTTCGGGTAAAGGATCAGGGGTTTTCGGGTGGATCTACGGTCTTGGGCGAAGGATCTATATGGGTTATTGGGTACGGGATCTAACGACAACGATCTTTGGCAAAGAATCCAGGCTGTTTGGGGGGAACATGGTCTAGTGTTTTTTGGAGTTGGGTTCAAGGTTCACGCAAATTAAAGTGTGAGGGGACTTAGTAGGTATGAAATGCAAGCCGGAAACCCACCTCGCGGTACGCTAAGTCACCGCTTCTCTGGGATGCAGCCACTCTTCCAGAAGCCTAAAAAACTTTTGCAAACAGGGATCCAAGAATCCGAGCTACAGCGACGGGTTCAGTAGGTGTGCAGACATTAAAGATGCTCCTGGCTGGTCTACGGTTTAGGCCTAGCATATGAAAGCTGTGCAAATCGTAGACGGGGGTGGAGCTGCATCGGCCTCTCCACAGAACATGTCGGGACCGACAGGGTTCCATTACTGTTGAGTTTGAGTTTGTTTGGGGCCAAACCCAGTGGATGTTCATGCACTGGCAGGCCCCTGCATGCATGCAAAAGTGAACCTGTGGAGGCTATGATGCGCTGCTCGTGGTGGACCAACAGCCTGTTCAATACTTCAGTACGCTCCCAGACATGATCCTTGGCCACGAAAGTTTTCCGACCTGTCAAGTATCTTATAACACAAGCAGGAAAAGCTCTGCCCCGCAAAGGCCCTGTGGCGCTCTTGGGCCCTGAACTTTGAACCCCTGACCAAATCCTAAACCCTACACTCCAGACCTTGAACGTCTAAACCCCAAAACCCTAAAATCCCTATAAGCCAAAGCCAGGTAGCCTTTAGCATTTTGTTATTTATGGCAACGATGAGCCGTTTTGGAGCCAGCAGGATACTAGGGCAAGCCCAGACCCTAAACCCATAAACCTCAAACCCTAAGCCCCTACATCCTAAACACTAAACCCCTAAACCCCAAACCCTAAACCTAAACCCTAGCAACGGCCCAATTCCGCGAACCGTGCGAAGGATCGCAGACAGTGACGAAAATCCTGGTATACCCAGCTGGAACCTTGGCTCGGTTTAGGGTTTAGGGTTTAAGATTGAGTGCTCGGAGGGTCACTGGCTGTTGTGGTTTGTTTCGGGGCTTTGAACTGGGCTTATCAGGTTTTACCAGTTTTTGAAATGTCCTTACAGGGTAGCAGACTTTGGGGGTTTAGGATTTAGGGTTTAGGTGTCTACCAGCATCGTACTGGTTTCTTGCTTGGCGTTTGATGGATACTATCCCGACAACTTGCTGCGTCGTCCGGGATCTCGCCAGTGCTTTGGCTTCCACGGTTGTCATGGGGGCCTTAATCATGGGAATAGGGTTTGGGGTATGGACTATCTCATTCAGATAGTGTAAAGCATCAGGATATCGATGCTATGACCTCACATTTCGCGCCTTGTAGGGTTGATCTTGAAGGTGCCCTTCGAGAAGCCTCCTTGGTCGCAAGAGCCCGGTGTTGTTTCGCATGGACGTCCAGGTCTACCACCGCAAAAACCCTAAATGCCAAACCCTGAACTGAACCCTAAACTGTCATCCCATCACACAGCACCTGCCCATATCATCAGCAGCAGGCCACGGCCTAAGCCTTACGGGTAGTTCTCGTCCTTTTTTAGGTCCCCAATATAGTACGGCACCATGATTAATGGGAGCCGAAAAGCGGCCCTAAGTTAGAGAATTACCCTTATCAACCATGAGGATAATCCAGTTGCTTGCCTTGTGGCACACAGGTTGGAATTCGTGCGCTTGAGACAGGAGACAGTTTCCATGACACTGGTCACGAGGGCATAAGCTTACAAGGGTCACTGCCATGACCGTCGTCGTCCTCGTCGTCGTCAGGGCCATCGTTGCCATCAGTCTGCTTTGTGCTTCTACATACTGGCCGTTTCTCCTTCTGCTATCCCTAGACCTTCTAGTTCCTAAACTCTAAAAGCATCACTCCCGTTTCTAAGCCGCTTTCTCTTTTACGATGGCGTTGCTGCCACTGGTAGTGACACCTTGCATACCTAGGATTCTGGGCAAGACGGACGGCAACGCGCTGTTGTCGACTCTGGCGTCGTATACTGCAGGTCCCCACTTATGCGAAAATTTGGTTGCTGAGGTTTTCTGAGATCAGGAGCTTTGGATCCTAGAGTCCTGGAGTGTTTTCCAGCATGTCATAAACGCTAATTCCTAATGCTAAGATTGCCTGTGTGCAGGATACGTGACACTGGACATCACCGATGCTTATCGCATGCCTGCCCTGGGCATCTACCAGAGCGATATCTACGGCCAGAGGGTGTACATGAAGCAATGAAATCTCGAGGTTGACGGTCCAGGGTGCTGATGGTCGACGTCGGATGCATAGACGGCTCCTCTCCTCCCTGGCGCAGCGAGCGACGACCCACCTGGGCTTCAGCAACAAGCTCTTCAGAAGTTCCTCAGTAGCTGAGTGAGTACACTTTACATTTTTTGGGATAATATGATCCCTTATAGAACTGAAAGTGTGCATTTTTTGGGGCTCATGAACTCAGCAACTAAGGTTCAGAGCAAGCCAGAGCAGATGGTTGGCATCGGGGCGAGCTGAACACGAAAGTCTGTGAAGGCTGGGTGATGGGCGTGGTTAGTCATCCGGGGCTCTGGATACCTGGAACTACCATAGCCTTCTTTTCTTGAGTGTTCTAACATAAATCCTCTGGGTCTGAACGTCGTGGGGGTCGTAAGCGCGTGCTCGGTTTCAATTGAAAGGTAATTCTTGGTTCGGGCTCGGGTGCTTGAATTTCGCACTCCGCTTAGGATCTGTGAGCTGTGCTTTGTGTGTAGGTTCTGAGTAGGGCAGTGTTTCATGTAGGGCCTCGTAAATATGGCTTAGCTGTTTGACTGTTTTAGTTGATTATGTGCCCCTGCATACATACATAACTTGTGACAATCCCTGTTGCTTTGCACCTGTTGTCGATGACTTCGTCCTCATGGCCCTAGTTCACCTGGTCCTTGGGAGACAAAACATCGGTCGCGCCGGGCAATTATCCTGGCCATTACAAGCCTCCGACCCCTCAAAGGTGCGGACCATGACATACCACACTCCGTTCTCTTGGCGCCGACGTCATGCGCTTTCCCTCGCTGGAAAGCCGTGGGCCGAGATGTTGAGTTTTCAACCTGTCTTTGTTGTAGCCAATGGAGGTTCAGGGTTTACGGCTTGGGGTCGTTTAGCACAGGCACGTAGTCAATGCAGTCTTTGGGTGTGTGCACCAATCCCGCCAAGCTTCCCATGACGCGCACGCATTGCTTCTGTCTCCCTCGGCGGGCGTTGACGCTCAACTCTTTAGCATGAAATCCCCGAAGTCCCGAACTTCAACCTGTAGCCGTAGTTCCGCAAAGCCATGCAAACGAACAACACTGAAATGATTGACTATAGTAGCCTAAACCTGAAACCTGTAAACCCCGAACTCAAAGCCTAAAGCCCAAAGCCACTACCCACAGATTGACCAGCATTCAGTGCCCCTTAACCAAAAGCACATCCCCACAGAGATCCAGCCGTTTTTGGCTGTGCTACCATGGGTGTCCTCGCTCGCTTTTCCAGCTTGCTTCACGATGCAGAGAGCTCCGAGGTAGGACGGGGTTAAGGGTCTAGGGTGCGGTTTTCCTCCGAGCATCGGTGGCAGTGTCATATAACCTTACAGGGCACTGCATACCCGGTAACTCTCCTCCCCCCCCTCAACCCCGCCCCCCGAGCTCCCTCCAAATAAGAGCACCGGTCGCGGTGGAATGGGTTCTGTTTTCGCTCCAGCAGGTGTTGGGGCTTGGGGGGGGTTCAGGTAGTAGAAGTCTATCAGAAGGATTCTACAAGGGGGATGCTTTTGGGGATTGGTGCCGGATTATAGATCCTGAATCCTTGCCATGACAAATCATTAAATCATCGGTTCTTGAGGAGTGTTGTATCAATGCGTGGTTATTGCATTGGCTTGCTTGTAGTGAGCGATCCATACAACCAGCTATGTGCAGTATTATTATTCTACTGCTCTCGTATTGTCTTTCCCCTGAGTGCACAATTGCTGATGCTGCCTCGTCTTATCTACCCCATCCTGTAACAGCTTCTGCAGAACTATCGCAGGCGTACGCGTACCATCCCAAAGCCAAGCTCCACAAGGACGCGATGGGGGCTTCTTCACCCTCAACCCTAAACCCAAACCCCAACACGGTTCGGCAGTTGTGTTTGGGGTTCGTGAAGTGTTGCAGAGTCACAGGTCTAAGTCTAGGCTTCCAGCGGCTCTTGGGGCGTTATGTGAGGTTTGGACTTTGGTGAAGGTTCAGGGCTTAGTCAGTATTTTGTAGATAAGGAGAGATATCAGCCATAATCTGCGCAGTGAAGCTAGGCTCTTCATTGACGAATCCAGACACTCACAGCCGGAAGCACCCAGACCGTAGCTGGTCAATGTCAAAACTGTTTCAACACAAAGGACGCGGTACGGGTTTAGCTAAACACAGTGGCCCTCCTAAGAGAGCACAACTTGCATGCCTCTCAACTGCACGCCGTAAACCCCCAAAACCTACAACTCTTAAACAAGGCAAATCCTTTAACAAGCAAATCCTCTGAAATCACCGAAGGACTTTCTCGACATTTGTGCCTTGGCCCGGCTAGGGATTCGGGTTTATACAGGTTTGGGGATCAGGGTTTAGGGTTTAGGGATTCGGGTTTAGTAATATCGGGGCCTTATTAATTAGAATAGGGTTTTGGCGCATATTCTACTATAATTATAATAAGGAGCCCTCAGAATAATATAGGTAATTATTAAGGCCCGTACAGTATACGGGTCTGGGGTTATGGTTTCGGTTTGGGGCTTAGGGCCTTCAGGGTTTGGGGGCTATTTGTGCTTCAGGTATTCTGTCTTGGGGCTTCTTGAAAAGGGCATTCTCAAGGGCTTGTCGGAGAACCCAGACGCCTCGAGCCCTAAGCCCAAAGCTACATTCACCGATTCTCTGTGAGTTCGACACACAAAGCCTCTGACTGTCGAAGTTCGGGGCTACAGCATGGCAATTTCCTATAAGCTCTAACAGGCCGAAGCAGGGGAGGACCCCATTGCTGTAGGTAAAGTTTGTAAGTCTGTGTAGGCCGTAAAACTGTCTCCCCTACGCGCTAAGGCTTTTAACTTTTTGTGCAGAAGGCGAGGACGGAAACATACACGAAAAGAAGGGTAAGCAAAATCAACAAGAAGCAAAGCCCCTGTCCGAGAAGGACCCCGGCACCACGCACACACATACACACATACACACATACACACATACACACATACACACATACACACATACACACATACACACATACGCATACACATACACACACACAAAAAAAAGATATGCTGCACTGACGGGCGTGCCGATCCCCTATAGACCCCAAAGCCCTAAACAAAACAGCTAAACCCTTAAACCCTAGACAAAAAAGCTAAACCAACACGAAGCCGTACTCCGAAGTGGCGGCCATCGGAAGGTGATGTGCGGCCAAAGGTGCAGCGAAGATCCAAAGAGGCCGGTCAAGTCGCGGTTAGGGTTTCAGGGCAGTTTACGGTTTATCGGGGTTTAGGGTTTAGGGTTTAGGGACCAAGCCCTCGTCTAATCATTCAGGCCCTTATCCTGCGGACTCTTTAGGTTTAGGGTTGAGGGTTTAGTGTCTAGCATCCTCGTAGCTCAGCAAGTAACCTTACACTGTAACACTTTCTTGCGTTCACATTCATATATTCTTCGGTTAACCTTTGACCAGGAAGCACCACAACTAGGACGCCTGGCAGGCTTTGGGGTCACAGAGATGTGCACCTTAAATTAATTAAAGAGAACAATTCTTTCGCAAGGGCCCTCGAAGCACTGTCCCGACTTTGCTATTCGGCGAAACTTTGGTACCCCCTGACCGAGCGCTAACACCAAAGTCCCAAACCCCCTGCATAAGTTTGGGACTTATCGGGTTACCCTTAGACCAGAAAGCCACAGTGCAACACCAGACTAAATCCTTTGCCCCGAAATCTCTGGTTTGTCCATGGCGGCAGATGCCCCTCCCGGGTAGGATCACATATAGTAATAACAGTAGGGCTTGCTGTCTGTAGGGTTCAGGGTAGTAGTTGTCATCGTCATCGTAGTAGTCGTAGTCGTAGTCGTGCTCGTCGTCGTCGTCGTCGTCGTAGATTTATGTTGGGAGTTTCAGAAACAAAGGGGCCCTTGCAGAACCTAGGATGCTAGAACCCTAGTTCATGCCGACCGTGAATTTAAAACTATGGGGTTTAGGTCTGTTGCCTGCGTCACCCCAGGCCCACAGACTACGCCACTCTTATTACCAGAGAACATGAAGGCTCGGAGTGTACCCCGACTCAGAGACCTATGCCTTTGCTCACGAAGCAGAAGCAAGTGCCCAAGGCCGTGTCCTTTCTGGCACCGCCACCGCACTACGTTCCGGTAGAAGAGGGCCACGGGGACATGCCTGAGGGCAGCTTCACTGCGAAGAGCTGGCTTTTGAAGTGCTCTATCAGTGTAAGTAGGTGTGTGTGTATATATAGATATAGATGGCAACCCATTTTTCATGCTTAGTAACTATGCGAAGGCAAGAGCAACAACAACAATAATCATAAAAGTGATAACACTAACAGATGATAATGAGAAATATAAGAAAGAGAATACTAAGGACAGTCTTAGCACAAATCTTAATGCTGATGGTCATAGTAAGTGTACCGTACCACGTAAGTACTTGGGTTCCTTAGAACAGGGACCTGCGCCCAGTTCGTTTAGGCTTTGGGCCAGGGTCTACAATTGCCCACACCCTGAACCTACCCAAACATGTCGCGTTCTCTCTTGCTGGGTCTGCTTCGTGCAATACGCCACTTACACCCTTATTTGGGGATCCTGACCCCCTAAATTGGGGGTCCTGACCCCCCAAACTTGAACTCTCTCTGAATTCGTCGCATGATGTCGAAGGGCCGCGCCTCCAGGTGAGGGGTTGTTCGGAAGCGCAGTGGAACTCTCCAACTGCGCGGTGCCGAAAATCGGGGGATTATGGGGTCTATGGGGCCTCGGGATCATCATCGTCGTGCCGGCCCTCCCATAGGGGCTCCTAACTTTGTCAGGTCCACTCGTTTACACATGACCAGAAGCCTGACAGCCCGTATCCGAAGAGACTGGGTTCGAGCAAAATCCCTGAGTCGGTCCACCTAGAAGATTAGATTCTTGGAGTTTGACTTTCTTGGGTTTTTGGGATAGCCCTCAAGCTCTGCAAGAAAACTGGGCAAATAAGTCCCTAAACCTTACGGGGATCAGGGCTATTGTGGAATCCTAAGCCCA